GAATTGCAAGGATCAATCATTAAAATCATGAAATAAAGCATCTACATAATTCTTTTTTTTTCTAAAAAATGTTAAAGTCGAATAAGGAATAGGGAACCAGTTCCTCATTCCTTATTCAACTCCGAATAAGGAACAGAAGAAAACACGTAAAGAAAGATACCCGTTGCAGTTATTTTTGATAAATATGCATAAGGATGGCAAGGATCAATCATTAAAATCATGAAATAAAGCATCTACATATTTTTTTTTCAAAAAAATGTTAAAGTCGAATAAGGAATAGGGAACCAGTTCCTTATTCCTTATTCAACTCCGAATAAGGAACAGAAGAAAATACGTAAAGAAAGACACCAGTTGCAGTTATTTTTGATAAATATGCATAAGAATTGCAAGAATCAATCATTAAAATTATGAAATAAAGCATCTACATAATTTTTTTCGACTTTAACATTTTTTTTTTCAAAAAAAAAAATATGTAGATGCTTTATTTCATGAATTTAATGATTGATCCATGCATTTCTAATGCAGATTGATCAAATATAATTGCAACTGCTGTCTTTCTTTACGTAATTACTTCTGTTCTTAATTCGGAGTCGAATGAACCTGAACATTTTTTTTTAGTTGAATAAGGAATAAGGAACTGGTTCCCTATTCCTTATTCGACTTTAACCTTTTTTTTCAAAAAAGATTATGTATATGCTTTATTTCATGATTTTAATGATTGATTCTTGCAATTCTTATGCATATTTATCAAAAATAATTGCAACTGGGGTCTTTCTTTACGTATTTCCTTCTGTTCATTATTCGGAGTTGAATAATGAATAAGGAACTGGTTCCCTATTCCTTATTCGACTTTAATATTTTTTTCAAAAAAATTATGTAGATGCTTTATTTCATGATTTTAATGATTGATCCTTGCAATTCTTATGCAGATTGATAAAAAAACTGCAACTGCTGTCTTTCTTTACATATTTTCTTCTGTTTCTTATTCCGAGTTGAATAAGGAATAAGGAACTGGTTCTCTATTCCTTATTCGACATTTTTTTTCCAAAAAAAATATGTAGATGCTTTATTTCATGATTTTAATGATTGATCCTTGCAATTCTTATGCAGATTTATAAAAAAAAACTGCAACTGCTGTCTTTCTTTACGTAATTACTTCTGTTCCTTATTCGGAATCGAATAACCTTATCATTTTTTTTCCAAAATATTTTTCATGCAGATGCTTTATTTCATGATTTTTATGATTGATCCTTGCAATTCTAATGCAGATTTATCAAAAATAACTGCAACTGGTGTCTTTCTTTACGTATTTCCTTCTGTTCCTTATTCGGAGTTGAATAAGGAATAAGGAACTGGTTCCCTATTCCTTATTCGACTTTAACATTTTTTTCAAAAAAAAAATATGTAGATGCTTTATTTTAGGATTTTAATGATTAATCCTTGCAATTTTTTAATGCATATTTATCAAAAATAACTGCAACTGGTGTCTTTTTTTACATATATTCTTATGTTCCTTATTCGGAGTTGAATAAGTAATAAGGAACTGGTTCTCTATTCCTTATTCGACTTTAACATTTTTTTCAAAAAAAATTATGTAAATGCTTTATTTCATGATTTTTATTATTGATCCTTGCAATTCTAATGCAGATTCATCAAAAATAATTGCAACTGGTGTCTTTCTTTACGTATTTTCTTCTGTTCCTTATTCGGAGTTAAATAAGGAATAAGGACCTGGTTCCCTATTCCTTATTCGACTTTTAACATTTTTTTCAAAATAATTTATGCAGATTCTTTATGCAATGATTTGAATGATGTATGAATTTTATTTTAAATAAATACTAATTCTGTTGTTCCTTATTTAGATTTGAATAAGGAATCAGGAACTAGTTCCCTATTCCTTATTCGAAAAAGGAATAAGGAACTGATTCCTTATTCCTTATTCGAAAAAGGAATAAGGAACTAACTTTATGTACATAATAATTTACGTCATCTTATATATTGACAATTTATTAAAAACTCGTAAATGATTTTTCAATTGTCCTGTAAATGACCCAGTCTTCAGATGCTATGGATTGACAGAAAGAAATGTTAATACTTTGAATAATATTTTTATAATGATTTAAGATTAACTAATATTTATTTATGAAATGGAGCAGATATTCCTTTGGCAAGGTTGGGCCATATTAACAATATTTAAACAATTGAACTGAAAATAGTCAAAAAATGAGTAAAAGATCGTATAAATGGTCTTAGAAGTTCAACAAAACTGCTTGATTTGCATATAAATCCAAGTTAGTGTAAACAATAGTACGAATCAGAGCAAATATTTTTCTCATAGAAATATCACTTTCATTGAGAAAATCACTGTTTTATAATTTTCTTTCGCTCTGGTCATTTACGGGACAAATCAATCTTATTACTATTATCTTATAATTAAACTGCAAAACAATGTAAGTATGTTTGTCTAAACAGATATTATGTATCTAGATAAACTAAAATATTTTATATCAAGATGCATGAAAAGTCATATCCCATTTCACTGAATCATCTATGAAAATGTTATAAAGTTTTCAGAATGTATTTATTTCAGTACAATTACTATATGTAGTTCTCACCATATCTGCTCCAAAGAACATTCTATCTTACAATTAATACAAGATACTCCAATATTATTGCGTTTACATCGATAAGCGTTTACTAAAAATTTCCTATTACTCGAATGAATATTCCAAAATTAATTTTACCATTTACGGGACAGTTCAGCCAGATACTGGACATGCCTGTTTTCATGTTGACTTCATTTTTGTGATTGAAGTATAAGTTTAAATGTATTCGTTTATGAAAGTAAGTATCCATTGAACTCTATAATAGTCAAACGTCTGAATACCAATTACAATATCAAAATTATGATTTTTAGAAGCTACCTGCAAGTGAAAAACACATTTCAGATGCGTATGTTTAAAAAACATGGACACTTCTTTGTTTTCGTGGAAGAATACTATTACATGTAACAAGTTGAAATAATTCAACAAATCTAGCAAAATAAATCACAAGAGAATGTGAAAGAGGGTGAGTCCCGTAAATGTTGAAAATTTCTGTTTGACAAGGGGATTTTATAAGAAATTGTTGAATGGTTTACATGAATGACAGAATATTAGCAAGACAAATATCTGCTCTAGATATCTGAAGTATTATAACATTGAAATTATTGAAAATATATTGTAAAACGCATGGTATTGATGAGCCTCGTAAATGATTTTGTAAAAATTACGCTTGTAAAATCAAAATTAACGTGAAATCCTATACAAAATGGTTACACAGATACTCTTAATATTCATATTTTATGTCAACTATATTACTGTAGACTTAATATTGCTATTGAAATAACCATTAATACGTTACCATGTATGATTAACATTGTTTTGCAATTAAAACTTGTAAATGATTTCGACTTTGAAGACAAGTAATTCAAATTTGATTTTGAGAAAATTAATTTTCGTAATATCAAAAACAGTTCAATATGTCAAAATCTGCAATAGAATAACGGAAATAAGCTGTGTTTACTGTTAACCACGACTTTTTGTACGAAGATACATGCAATGAAACATACTTCGATTTAGTTGAAGACATGCTGTTTTTCGTACCCCTTCCTTGCAAAAGCAATTGTCACTAGCAAAATCAAACCAATAGGCTAGTAAACTTGCGCTCAAATTAAATCTTTGATGCAGTACCAATTGTTAAAACATTTTATAAGAATGTTTGGGCTTAAATATCTCCACACATTTTCATAGAACATTGAAGACATCGAATGTCGTACTTAAGAGAGAATGAGTGTTATAGTTCATCAAGAACATTGGAATTCAGAATTAAGTCTCAAATGTGTCTGATTGACTAAAGAACACATAGTATGAAATTTGACTAGGCCGAAATCTTGACAGTTTTTTTAAATAAGCACAGAGCCATGTTTTTTTATGTTCTACCAGAATTTACAATATTTTTGAACAAGAACTGTCGGAGGACAGCGACGCTCGACTATTCGAAAAAGTTGTCACAAGGGTGTTTCATTGAGTATAATAATGCTTACCTATATGAATACATAAAAGTGTACGAAAAGGTACAAGGGCTTGTTATTAAGATGTTTTATCGAGCAAATCACTGCTTTATTATTATGAATGCATAAAATTGTCCGAAAAAAGGCACAAACCCTTCAGAAGTTATGTAGGTACCAGATTACAAGCAAAAATTTAACCAAGAATTTCTTAGTTGAAAAGGGGGCATAATTATTCAAAAAGGCAAATCAGAGTTATGGGACTTGTGCCAATCATGTCAGATAATCACAGAGAACAAGTGTGTGAAGTTTCAATCCATTCACTTTTGTAGTTATGGAGATACCAGCTTACACGCAAAAACTTAACCAAGAATTTCTAAGTCGAAAAAGGGGCATAAGTTATTGGATTTGTGCCAATTAGGTTAGATAATCACAGAGAACAAGTGTGTGAAGTTTCAATCCATTTCCTTCAGTAGTTATGAAGATACAAGCTTACACGCAAAAACTTAACCACAGGGACGCCGACGCAGACAATTGGGTGATTGCATTAGCTTGATTATTCTGCGAATAGTCGAGCTAAAAATGCATTTTCATATACTTACGATCTTAAATCTTAAGTAAGCTTAAACAAAAACAGTACTAAATTTAATAATTATATCACATGAAGAATTTAAGGAAAAAGGAATAAAACCGTAACTAATACAATATTCAACTGCCATCTTGGCAGGTTTAGCCTTGATCACCGCATGGGCCGACGGCTTTATTGAATATGGGGAAGTAAAAAACTCATTCTTTTAAAAATACTGTCAAGTTTGCCACTGATTACTTCCAATCGAATAAAGCTTTAAAAGATATACTAGTACCAGAGACAAACACACACATGCGCGCACGCACGCACGTACACATACAAACACACACACACATACATACATGCTTATATAATGTAAATTACCTAAGGCAAACATGTCGTAATATGGCACAGTGAAAGTAGCCTCTTCCTGGGTGCTGCCTTTGCTGAATTTGTTGTAATATGATGCCATGGCCGACCGAAGCTTAGACGGATCCCTTATATGTTCAAATATTCCTTTCTGAAAAGTAAACGGAAATTGTTCACCTTAAACACATGTTAAAAGTATGGTGGCTGATTTAGAACGCTTTTGTGCGTCGTGCTATCGCTAGCCACCATATTAAAGTGCTTGGTCCGCGTATAAATACTTTTACAATAAGCATAGCCTATTCTTTTTTTTATTCTAATGAAACGCTTAGCGATCGCAGGCAAGCATTATAGGATTCTACCCATGCGACCATTGCAGCCAAAGGCAAGCAGATTCTACCAATGCGACCATTGCAAACCAAGGCCAGCAGATCTTACCCATGCAACTATTGTAGACTAAGGCAATCAAATTCTACCCATGCGACCATTGCAGCCCAAGGCAAGCATATTCTACCAATGCGACCATTGCAAACCAAGGCCAGCAGATCTTACCCATGCAACTATTGAAGACCAAGGCAAGCAGATTTTACCCATGCAACCATTGCAGCCAAAGGCAAGCAAATTCGACACATGCAACCATTACAGACCAAGGCAAGCAAATTCTTATTTATGCGATCATTGCAGACCAAGGCAAGCAAATTCTACCCATGCGACCATTGCAAGCCAAGGTCAAGAGATTCTACCCATGCGACCATTACAGACCAAGGCAAGCAAATTCTACCCATGCGACCATTACAGACCGAGCCAAGCAAATTCTACCCATGCGACCATTACAGACCAAGGCAAGCAGATTCTACCTATGCGACCATTGAAGACCAAGGCTAGCAGATTCTACCTATGCGACCATTGAAGACCAATACCAGCAGATTCTATCCATGCGACCAATGTAAAACAATGCCAGCAGATTCTACCCATGATATCATTGCAGACCAAGGCCAGCAACCTCATATGTGTTGTCTCATCATGGTAGGCACTGTTCACTATTCAGTCAATATACATGTATCTATATTTTCATAATTGTACTAAACGTGCTGAATGGTTTTGTGCAAACAGAAAGAAAATTCAGATGATATTCGGCTGTGTGGAAACTGCTGACACAGAAACATGTAAAGCACACTTTATATTTTGAATATCAAAATACCTGAATTTCGCCTTTAGTTGAATCACTGTTTGACTGATCAGCCATTTTTGTAAGCATTGACTTCGCAGATTCTGGAAGTGCTGTAATATTTTAAAATAGTGTAAAACATGCATGCAAATACTAAACAAAGTAAGCTCCATCTTTCTTAATATCAAAAGCAAAGGAACATCAATGTAAGGATTTTTTTCAGTTCAATATTAATGGCATCACAAACGAACACAATAACCAAGTTTAAAGTAAAACGCTTTGATCATTTCCGAGAAAAAATACCGAAAAACGAATGTTTATCAACAAACGCGG